ACTCTTGAAGTCATACTTCAAGTTGTTTTAATAAAAGTATTAAGACTTTATTAGCAAAAAAGTATAAAAACTTCTTGCGAACATCTTTTTTGTGTGTGATCAGAGGATCAGCAAAAAGAGTTTTTAGTAGATAATAAGTATTTTAAATAATTATAAGAAAATAATTATAATAATAGATAAATAAGTTTTTTAGATAATCAAAAAAAGAAAAATACCTCAAAAAGATTAACTTTTAATAAGAAAAAATTTTCAATAGAGGTTCTTTAAAAATATATATAATATATTACTTTTATTATTTTATTTATTTATTTATTTTATATAGCACATTTGTATATTTTTAGATATCCTTTTTCCTTTACTTTTTTCTTTTTCTATTATAGTTTCTCAAAATCAATTTTTGGAAAAATAATTTTTTTTTTAATCCACTGTCAGGTTAGTTATATATACTTTATTAAACATAATGTAAACTATACTATTTACAGTGTTATTAAAGCTAAAATGCTAACTAACTCACTTGTTTTAGTTTATTGTCAAACTTTAAGTGCAACTTTGGAAGTGATTTGTTACTTTATTTATAGTTTGGGTAAATACCCTTCTACTATGAACATCATTGCCTGTAGTCCCTACTGCAAATCATTGATTAAAATACTGACCGAGCTTAAAACCTAACCATTTTATTCCATTTTTAACACACATTATTATTATCCTTATTAAACCTTTTTCTAGACATTCTTCTTCTATTTTTTTTCTTTCTTCTCTTGACTTTCTCATTTTTCTTGTTAAATAAGACTTTATGGCCATTTTATTTTATCTTTTCAAAAAATTCCTTGATTTTTTTTCCATTCTATTACTAGTTCACATCATTTGTTACACATTTTTTTTCTGAAGTAATTCAAAATTTTCTTTTGATAACAGAGTTCCATTTTCTAGCAACTGTTCTTATTTTTTTTTCTCTATATTCAAGTTCTCATACTTCTTTTAATAAATTTCTTTTGATCAGTCCTGAGAAAAAACTGACTGAGTCTTGACTATTTATGGATACTCTTTTAATAAGCTTTGTTATCCATGCCTCTATTTTTCTCATTTTTTTTCTATCTACTATTGAGATATTACTGTATTCTTTTGAGCTTGATCTTTTCACTTCTGCCTCTCTTTCTTAAATTCTTGATATATTGTTTCTACTCCTCTTGATCAGGTTTCCTTTATTGTATTTTTATATCTTGGGCATTTCAAAAGATGTTCTATTGTTTTCTTCTATTCACTACATGTTAAACAGTCATCTTTGTGATATAAATCTGGTTTTTTGATCATTAGTTTGACTATTGTTAGTAGTTTATTGTTAATTAACTTTATCAGAAAACTTTTCTGCTATAAGCTTTTAAATGAGATATTTCAAGTGTATTTCTTTTTTAGTTTTTCCCATACTATATTCTATAAATAGTTCTACTGATCTTCTATTTGAAGATTCCATTTGTTCCTAATTCAGTTTTGTTGTAATCAGTAGTATATTATTATTTTATTATTTATCCTTTTTATAAATTGTTTTATAGAATTATTTAGTATTATATCCTACCATTTCACTTCTGTAATGATCTTGTCAGATTTAAGGTCCTTCTACTGAATTGTTGAAAGGTTTAGTGTTTTTTTAGCCAACTTGTCTGCCAGATATTTTTCTTAATATTGGTGTGTGTCTCAACTTTAATCAATTTCAACTTTATATTTTTTGTTTTGATGATATTTAGCATTCTTGCCCAAAGGGACCAGTTTTTTTTTTTAGCTATCTTCTATAAATCATTTTTGAATTATTTTTTTTCAACTTGTTCCATTTAGATATACATGTTTGACTATTTATATAGATTTTAGCTGAGCTTTCTACTGGTACTACCAATAGGATTGTAAATATTGCTACTAGCTCTACTCTTGTGAATAATGGTCAATTTTGTATGCCTGCCTGAAAACTATTTACTTGACCTTTACCCTTTGTTTAGATCTATGCCATCCCCATTTTAATTATTTCTTTTCCATGATTTATTAGGGATCCATCCAAGTAAAACTAGAATTTTTCTTGTTCTTCAAGGTTTCTTTGTAAAATTTCTTTTAAATGGTCTTAATAGATTTCTTCTTGAATGTATTCTTCAATAATCCTTGTTTCCTATTTTTTAATTATTATCTGTAGTATTTGGTTTTTATTTTCTTAAGATGTTATAGTACATTAGATCTTGTCTACTATTTTACTCTTCAATATTTCTTTTTTTATCAGAATCTTTAGTTCTTTAGCAGTTTTTGTTGATTTGCATTTGTTCAAGAAAGTGATCTCATGAAGTTTATCTTTATTTTTATTTATAATGCAAACATAATTACTGAGTATGTCATTTGCATATCCTTTGCATTGGGACAAAGTTGTTTCCTGGTTTTTTGCTTTTTCTTCATAGTTAAAGTATACCAGTTCTTTTTCTGATCTTAAAAATTTTTTTCTTATTAATCTTGCTAAACTTTTGTTCAGAATATATCAAGTTTTTTGTCTCTTGTTTCTACTTAAGTTGAGTTTTGGATAGTTAGGTTCCCATGAGATATTGTTATCATAACATTTTTTCATGATTTCTTTTATTGTTTTTGATACCAATAGGTGTGATAATCTATTATGCCAATCTGTAATTGGTTTTTTACTTGTTCACTAAAGAAGTTGAATCAACATTCACTCTTTTAGTCTCATGGTTTTCTTCTCTATGATCTGATCTAGGTATATTGATCTGTTGTTGCACAAGGATGAAATAGCTTTTTTATATTTTTCTTTCGATAGATAATTTTTTGAAAAATAATAAATAATTACAATCTGTAATAATAACATATAAATTAGAAGAATATTTACATAAAATCTATTATTAAATAAAATATTATTTCTAATGGTATACTTAGAAACTGAAGCTTTTTTGAAAATTGAAAGCCATTGATGAGTGAGTCAGTACAAGATTTATTTTAACTATGATATAATTGTTTTATGTATCTTTATTAATTTTTTTAATAGTTAATAAATATATAGTACTAATTTAACCATGAGTTTAAAAATAATTTTATAAATTAATTTATTAAGAAAATTAATATTATAATAATAGTTTATTAGAAATATAATATAATAAAATAAAATAAAATGAAGTCATCAAATTCTAAATCAATAAGATTATATATAAAACTTGATATTAAAAAAATTAAAAACAAGTATATATAATATATATTTTTTAAAAACTTTAAAAAATTTTTTTTCTTATTAAATTAATTAATAATAAGCTATTAATATCAAATAAACTAATTATAAAAAGATTTAATCTATATAAATAAGTAAAATATATTATATATATAGACAATAAATAGAGACAATAAAATATTTACTAAAAATACTTAACTTATAAGTATTAATTAAAAGAAGTATAAAATAAAGAATTAAAAAAATTTTTAAAAACTTTAAAAAAATTTTATAGGAAAGAAAAAAAGAGTACAAAAAAAATACAAAGTTAATTATAAATAATAAAAAATAAATAAAAATATTAGACAAGTAAATATTTAAATTAATAAAATAAATCTCATAGACTAGTAGTATAAATTTCAAAGACTAGTTAAGACAAATCAAGTTTTTATATTGGATTAATAAAAATAATTTATTTTAAAAATAGTAAACTTAAAATATTATGAAAATAATTGAAAAAGAAATAAGTAAATAAATATTAAAGATAGAAAAAAAAGTATATAATTAACTTTGAAGAAAAATTGAAACACAAAATATAAAAGAATAAATAAATAAAAAAATATATGAAAAATTCACAAAAACAATAGGATAAAAAAATATTCAAGTTCATCAAGTTAGAAAATTATATACCTAGTAAGAATAATACCAATACTAGAAGAAAATAAAATATGTTAGGTATGGAATAAAATAATTATAATTAGATCTGTAACAATAATTTGTAAGCAATAATATTAGAAGTTAAAAGAATTATTATCTGAATTGCAAATGAAATAATAAATCATTTTCAAAGTTATACTTAGAGTAATAAAAATGAGTTAGTAACTTTAACAATACATGTTATATGTATAGTTACTTACTTAATGTTTAATAAAGTACACATAACTAACCTGACAAAGGGTTAAAAAAAAAAACAAGATATTCATTTAATATCTCAATAAAGATATGCCTGACGGCATGATTGCAAGTAAAATAATAATAGTGATAATAAATAAATAAATAAATAAATTTGAATACTCTATATACTGTAATAAAAAAGTTTTATTTTAATTATTTCATTTATTTCGAGCTAAAGATACTGTATCTCTATAGAGAAATCAGCATTATACGTATAAACAATTTCTTAATTTAGAATATTGCAAGAAATTTCTACAAAAAACCGGAACTATGTACTTATTTATTGAAGGGTTTCATTTTTAATTAAATGGTATTTACAATGGATAATGATGTTATTTTTCTATATTATCAGTATTATTAATACGTGCCCATACTGTTGGATCTTTATCTATTGCTTCAAATAACTGATAGTGCTTCTCAAAGGCCGTTTTCAGCGTGTTTAATGTCTCCTGTGAAATCTCTTTTCCCTCCTTCAAGTCCATTGAAGTGCTCTCATTATATATAAATTCCCGGCAAGTGTTATAATAATCTGTGTCAGCTTTCAAACTCTCCAACAATTCTTGATATAACTTATTGATAATTTTTTCACTTTGGTTTTCGATGTAATAATCAAATAACTTGGCCGATTCACTTTTTCCTTGCTTCTTTAAGAATTGTACCAACTCCGATTTATGTTCTTGACGGACTAACGCTATTCCATAGAATTTTTCCACAGTATCTAGGAGTTTCATCCAGAGCAGATATTCTTGTAGAGACCAATCAGAAGCCACGAATTTTGATTCGGCCATATACTTGCTTTGATCTTTAGATCGCTGACGAGTTAACGCAGCATATTTTCCAATAAACTCGGGATGTTTTTTAATAGAGATACCTAGATCTTTTAGTTTTATTATAATATATTTGTATTTATATATACGTTGTTGTTTGGACAGAAAACCTTCTTTAACTGAAATCAATTTGCGTCTCTTGAACATTGGTGCCATTTTTTTTTCCTCGGATATCCAAGCTATGAAGGGTGATATATATATAGTTTCTGCACTCCCGTTTGCGTAATGACGCACATGTATTTGCATTTCCGTTGTTGGAAAATTACGTACATTTGTGTTCATTTATTATTGTTTTAAGGGCAAAATTTATTTACAAGAATGAGACAAAAGAATCCCTGTATTCTCAAACTAAAAAGGAAATTTCGATCCCTGGACTTCCATTTCGGAAATGCAGAATCAAAAACATCCGGGGAGTGACTTACAGCAGAGAAATAGAGAAAGTCCAAGGAAAATCCTTTTGTTCACTCGCATGTGTTATTCATGTGATACGTACAGCATTTAATTTCTGATTATCAGTATCGTTACAATAGTATAAACAGCCAGAAGCCTTTCCTTCGTATCATGCATCGATTGTTAAAGAATGCAAGTTTTTTTTATAATTTATTTTTACTGTTAAGTGAGATTAAATCTATTTATTCTTTCCTTTCGTGAAATAGTTTCCCCGTGGTTATACCACTGCTAGTGGTCGCAACGTTAGTTTATTATAATTATAATTATTATATATTTTTTTTTTAGAGATCGACGAATCCTTAGATTGTATGAAATTCTAATTTCTTTTGATTGTATTATAGAATGTGGTCATTGTGTCAGCGGTTCGAACACCGATTGGTCGTTTCAACGGATCATTAAAGAAACTAACTGCTCCGGAACTTGGTATCGTAGCTGCGAAGGGCGCGATCGAAAAAGCTGGTATTTTAATTATAAAATGATGATTTTTTAGTCTTAAAGATTATCTAAAGTTTTTTTCTCGATTGCTTTCAGGTCTAAAACCCGAACATATTGAGGAAATTTATTTCGGAAATGTTTTGCAGGCAAACCAAGGTCAATCTCCTGCACGCCAGGTTGCCATTGGAGCAGGTATCAATCTAACATGATTCGATCTTTTAATTTTGTAGCATGTCTATTTTACACTAAACAATATGGTTTCAGGCTGTCCAGTTTCAACAGAAGCAACGACGATTAACAAAGTTTGTGCATCTGGCATGAAAGCTGTCATACTGGCAGCACAAAATTTGGCTCTAGGCGATAGATCGGTCATGATTGCTGGTGGTATGGAGAGTATGTCTAATACCCCGTATGTATTTATGCACAACATATATCTCAAATATATTTAGCAATTATAACTACATTTTTCGGTTGTTATTTGATGTAGATACTATTCCTTAAGAAACATCAGCTATGGTCATCAACAATTGATTGATAGCATAATTAAAGATGGTTTATGGGATGTTTATAATCAGATACAGTAAGTTCTAGATATTGCGCGTCCCATGATTATACACGCATATCCATAACTATCCACTAAAGTTCTTCTATATTAGCATGGTATAATGGTTTTGACAATTCGATGAAACTTTACTCGAGAAATATTTCTATTGTCGAAATAATGTAATCTTTGCATTAGGGTAATTGCGCGGAGAATACAGCGAAGGAATATGGTATTTCTCGGGAGGCTCAAGATGAACACGCTATTGAATCATATAGACGTGCAGCTAATGCCTGGAAGGTACTTGTTATATATTACATATATGGCTAATTAAATTTTGTATTGGAATTTTCTTCTCATGTGCTTGAAAAATAATAAATGAACACAAATGTACGTAATTTTCCAACAACGGAAATGCAAATACATGTGCGTCATTAC